AGATGGTAGTGTAGATTGCAAAATAAAAATAAAAATAAAAATACATCAAGAAGAATATTTAATAACTTTTATGTGTTTACAAGAAGAGTACACGGATACAGACATGTAGGTATCAGGAGTCAAGCTCACCTCGAGAAAATCACTATAATTTAAGGGATATTTTAGATACTGTAGAGAACTCTTTCTTAGTGTAGATAGCAATTATGGAGAATGTGTCTGGTTCATATACCTCAATGATTCATCAAATGGAGCAACATTTTAAATACCTGGTTCAAGATTAATCATTATTGGAAATTATATAGTGAACAATATGCAAAATATCACCATTCAAATTTTTGAAAAGGGTTTGAATTGCTTAGAATGATGTAGATCAGAAATCTGTCCGTTTAGGCACTCTGAAAATTGCATCAGATAAAGTCAGGAATTATTGTAGATCCAGATCTACAATTTCTTCGCCAGTATTGTGAATGTCTCCATAAAGTACAATTGACATACAGTAGCTATTTTAACTGAATCATTTTATTGCGAGCACATTTTCACTCAATCATTACTAGGATCTGTGCTTCAATTGCTTTGATGAATGATTTCTTCTTATTTTCACATTTTTGTATGAATATAAGAAGAAATCAGGCACCATGCCTCTTAATATAAGATTTTGCAACTGAAGTATCCTCACACGATGCATTTTGAGAACCTCGATTTTTAATATATGCAATTTGTACATTTTTAAGACTGCCCATTGCATCACAGCATTCAAAAAATATAGATGAGTGTATATAATCATGTCCCAACTAGCTAATTATTTTCTTGCGTCTTTTAAATTGCTCATAATTACTAGCCTCAGACTCTTTATATATTGTGACTTACTTAGATATGCAAAAAGAAAAGGTCCATAAAAACAAACATGTATCATATGTTAATAAAATCTAGTCTTACATACATATATTTTTTATAATTGCATAATGACATTATCAACATCTAAATTTTTTTTCTTAACAATAGAAAAATAAATAGTTAATTAAACATTTAACTTAGTAATTGCAGTCCACATTTCTAAAATTATTCCAATCCGATTGCTGGTCATACAATATTTCCTCAGGTTTAGAAAGAACCAAAAGAACCAAGATGGCAGCTAAATATCTCCAGTTGGAGCCCTGCCTCCTTTTAAAATCTGTGATGCATATAAAAAAAAGAGCAGGCTGTAATTACCCAGTCGTGGATGCCATTTTAACTTCTTTGATCTCCATCTACAGCAGTGGTGGGATTCAAAAATGTTTACAACCAGTTCTGTGGGCGTGGCTTGGTGGGTGTGCCAGGGGAAGGTTACTGCAAAATCCCCATTCCCTCCCGATCAGCTGGGACTCGGGAGGCAGAGAATAGATGGGGGGTGGAGCCAATCAGAGGTTGTATTTACCAGTTCTCCGAACTACTCAAAA